AAGTACACCCCTTCATGGCAATGGCATTCTGTGATGGCAGTGTCCTCTTTCAGCAGGATAATGCACTCTGCTACACTGAAAAAATGGTTCAAGAAAGGTTTGAGGAACATAACAATGAGTTTGAGGTGTTGATGTGGCCTTCAAATTCTCCAGATCTCAAACCAATCGAGCATCTGTGGGATGTGCTGGAAAAGGAGTCTGATCCATGGAGGCCTTACCTTGCAATTTACAGGACTCTGCCACTGGTGGCTTGGTGCCAGATACCACAGCATACCTACAGAGGTGTACTGGTTTCCATGTGTTGGTGGGTCATGGCTGTATTTGGTGGCAAAAAGGGGGCCTGTTTAATATTAGGTGGGTGGTCAGAAAGTTATGGTGTATGTCCTAATTAAATTAACAACATGATGAGGAAATGGGCCCTGTGAGGAAAAGCACGCCATAAATGCACTTTTTTCTTTAAAACCATCACCAATACTCAAAAAAAATATAAACATGTTTAACAAAGTTCTGTGAACATTCTCATATATCCAGGTCATGGAATATATAGTAGTAGTTAGTCACATCACATATTTAGTTACATAGTTACTAGTGAGGTTGAAAAAAGACACTAGTACATCTAGCTAACTGGACTTGTTCTGTAATGTTGAAGCTGTTTTGTAGCTCATCCAAACCACTTCTTTAGTTTTAATGAGCATCAGGAATATACCCCAGCATTTATATCCACACAGGAAGCACCAAAACCTTGAGCCAAGCAGGATCAAAAGACAAATGTTATTGTCCAAGAACAAAATCAAAGGTGTGAAAATTAGAACATAATCCCATGCTAGGTGTCAGCAAGGCCTCATGGGTGTTAAGCCTTCGTTTTCCATTGCTGTAGGTATAAACTGTTGTCAAAACACAGTGGAGATGTTAAAACAGCATTATGTGAAATACAGATACAGCATAGATCACCGCTTTCATTGCTCTTGTGAGTTCCTTCTTTGTCCAAAATGTGCACCTCACTGTCCTGAATGGCCCTTCTCTTTAAGGTGTTGAGTGTTGACCTTTAGAATTTGCCCTCCTATGTTGGGGTCATTTATTTATTTGAGAGGTCGCTTAGTTTTCCCTAATGTACATGTTTTTGCATTCCTCACTACATTGCACTGCAAATACCAAGTTGCTTCACTTGAGTCTGGGTGTTGGGTCTTTCAGATGTACAAGCTTCTGTCTCAGTGTATTGTGGGGCTTAAAAGACACATTTTGAATTATTTGATAAAGATCTTTTCCTCACTGCAGCTTAGATTGGTCATGTTATTATTTAACACTGGCTTCTACACAGATAATCAAACCATATGTGAGTATTAAAAACGAATTAAAGAGCCACAATGTGTCTGACTTGCCTTATGGGATATGTTGGGAAATGTGGATATATGCTTTAAAGCATAATTCCAGTCAAAACCTAACTAAGCTTAAATCTTCTACCACCCCCATTCTAAGCCTATTCTATCTCCCCTGTAAAAGGAGAGATGGTTATACTGTACTTACCTATTCTGGTCACTCCGATCCGGTCACATGATCGGGTCTCAGTGCCAGCTTCAGGGTAGAAGAAGGAAAGCCGACAACGGCTGCCCCACAGTAAGCCTAAGGGTTCTGTAGCCATTGTCGCTACCTCTGCTCTATATTGAAGCAGCCAATGGAAGGAGACCAGAGCAACTTCAGAAAAGATAAGTATAGGCATCTGTCCTTTCACAGGGTAGATAGAATATGCTTAGAATGGGGGGTGGGAGAAGATTTAAGTTTAGTTATGTTTTGACTGGAATTACGCTTTCAAATTCATCTACATATACTGTATACACAATTAAGCTATATTATGGCTGCTATGTGTCACTGGTGGGCAAGGAATTGCTTCTTGATTCATTTAGTTGTATTTTCACCTGCTTCTAGTTGCTTTTGTTAATTCATATGCATTGCTAGAAACAGGTTAATTTTATTACATGACTGCAATCTTTTCAGTTTCCTTTTGTAAACATTGGAAAAGATTTATAGGTTCATTCCACCAATTGCCTATCAAATAAGTATACTTAAAGCAGCAGTTCAATAGTTCTCTTCATAATTTTACATGCTACAGATCCAGCAGACGTCAACACTGAAACCACATATAACCATTCACATTGTATCTATGTGGCCTCGGAATAATTTCTAAGTCTCATGCTACATTCAGCTAATAGCACTGTGATGACATGAGGGGCCGTTGTGGTTTTGTAACATATTGCATATGATCTGCCTCATGTTTGTACAGTCCTGTATTCACTCTCTGTGATTTCAATGTACAGTTAAGCATCAGATTTAGATCAGGATCAAATTTAAGGAAACCCCTCTGAGCATTTGTCTAAAATAATGAATGCTCATTTTCACATAATAAACTCTTTATGTTGTGAGTATAAACACACAGTAAGAGAGCAAGAAGTACACTATATAACAATCATGTGGATTTCATTTTGAAGTCTTATGCAATACTAGATCATTTCATACCATACCATGTAAATGAACTGAACTAAAAGGGCTTTTTGCTTTCCACTGAGTAGATATGTTGCTAATGTTCTAAAAGTCCTGGGAAACACTGGAGCATACTACATAGTGAAATACTAGGATGGTTCCAATATAGTTGTGGTTTAAAACGTTATTATACATAGCTCGGGCTTCTAAATCTACATATGATAACAACTAGAATTGCATGACAGACACCACACTTATACAATCAATGTTATGAACCACGCCACAAGCAGGAGTCTCCATTTCAGCTGCTTGGTCCACAAACACCTTGAATAAAAGGAGTGTGTTAATAAAAGAAAACCTTGCTTTAAATAACACTTATACAATAAAAATGGTTGTATATTGTCTGGAATTAAGCTTTAAAGCAGAACTGTATTAGTTTAGGAGTGTCGGGTCTTTCCATAATGTGCAGTTATGCAGAGCATACTGACAGTTTATGAATGACATATGCCTTGTGTTGGGGGGAATTTGGAGGGAAGAACATTTCTGTTAGGTGAATTAGGTATTAAGTTGGGGAATGATTTGTGCTTGGAGGTGTGACAGGGGGATATGCTGGGAAGGGATTAGTGTTAGGTGGAGGGTGAGGAGGGATTTATGCTGGGAGGGGGTGATAGGAGGAGGATTTGTGTTGGAGGAGAATAAGAGAATTTGTGCTAAAAGGAGGTATTGGGGGAAGAGGATTTGTGCTGGGGGGCATTTGTACCAGAAGGAGGATTTGGGGAAGATGAGAGGATTTGTATTAGAAGGGAAATCTTGGGGGATTTGTGCTGAGAGGGGGAGTAAAGGTGGCTTAGCGCTAGAAGGATGAGAGGATTTGTGCTGGGAGGGCGGATTGGGGGGGCATTTGCTAGATGGCAGAAATAATTTCTGTCGAGAGGGGGAATTGGGAGGGGAAATGATTTGTGCCAATAGGGAGGATTTGGGGGGATGGAAAAGGGTTCGTTTGTGTCTGTAAGAAAGATTAGGTGTGTCTGGAGGAAGGTTGAGAGTATGATTTGTGCTAGGGGAAGGTGGGGGGGGGGGGGGGGGGGGGAGTGCTGGAAGGGAAAAGGATCTGTACTAGAAGGGAGATGGAGGGGGGTATTTGCGCTGGAAAGGGAAGAGGATTTATGCTGGGAGGGGTCTTGGGATTGAGAAGATTGTAGTAGAAGGGGAAAGAGAATGTGCAATGGGGAGGATTTATACTGGGAGAAGAGGATTTGTGGGGTGGAAAAGGATTTGTGCTGGGAGGAAAAAGAGGCTTTGTGCTGGAAGGTGGGAGATATGGGGGAGCAAAGATTTGTGCTGGGGGGGTGAGAATAGTGGGGGGGGGGGGGGGGGTTAGGGGGGGAGGAGTGGGAATTTATGCTGAAAACTGGGGTAAACTGGGGGAGAGTATTGCATGCAAAGTGAATCTTGCACTCACCTGACCCCCTACACTGTGAGTTACACACCCCTGACACTTGTACTCTTTTTATTTTGTACTCCTGACCCAACTGTGCATTATGCACTCCTGTCCCTTGCATTCTATGCATTGAATATTACTGACCCCCACTCTTTGTGTGCTATGTACTCCTAAACCCAGCACTGACTGCAGCACTCTGTGCATCACATACTCCTGACCCTTGAACACTTTGCGCTACACACCCCGGACCCCAGCACTCTGTGCATGCATTACCCACTCCTGACTCCTGCCCTTTGTGTTATGTATTCCTAAACCTGACTCTGACTGCAGCGCTCCATGTGTTATATAGTCCTGACTTGTGCACTCTGTGCATTGCGCACCTCTGACCTTACAGACTTTACATTACATACTTCTTACCTTCTCACACGTGTTCATTGTCTCTGTAGTTGCTGGTTACTAAACAGTCCCTGATTATTTTAAAGGTCTTCTTTAACCGCTAGCCTACCGGGCACTGTCACCCCCTTCCTGCCCAGGGCCAATTTCCAGCTCTCAGCGCTGTCACACTTTGAATGACAATTGCGCGGTCATGCAAAACTGTACCCATATGAAATTTTTATCATTTTTTTTGTGACAAATAGAGATTTATTTTGGTTGTATTTAATCACCTCAGGGTTTTTTATTTTTTCTTAAACAAACCAAAAACCACTGAAAATTGTGAAAAAAGTTTTTTCTTAGTTTTTGATGATAAAATTTTGTAAATAAGTGATTTTTCTCCTTCACTGGTGTATGCTAATGAGGCTGCAGTGATGGGCACTGATAGGCTGCACTGATGGACACTGATAGGTGGCACTGATGGGCACTGATGAGGAGGCACTGGTAGTTTGCACTGATGGGTATTGACAGGCATCACTGATGGGCACTGAAAGGCAGCACTGATATATGGCACTGATAGGTGGCACTGTTAATCGGCACTGACTGACACTGTTAGGCGGCACTGACTGGCACTGTTAGGCGGCACTGATGCACACTGATAGGTGGCACTGACTGGCCCTGATAGGTGGCACTGACTGGCACTGATAGGTGGCACTGATTGGCAGCACTGATAGGTGGCACTGACTGGCACTGATAGGTGACACTGAAAGGCAGCTCAGATGGGCACTGATATGTGGCATTGATGTGCACTGGCAGGCACTGATATGTGGCATTGATGTGGCGCTGATGGGCACTGCCACGTGGCACTTTTCAGCACTGACAGCTGGCACTGATGGACACTGACAGGTGGCACTTCTGGGGCCACACTGATCATCAGGGCACACTGATCATCAGTGCACACGTCCCCTCCGAGGAATGCCGATTACCGACCCTCCTCTCCTCTGTCAGCGTTACAGCTCGAGAGGAGAGAAATGCCGATAACCGACATTTCCCTATTTACATGTGATCAGTTGTGATTGGACACAGCTGATCACATGACCGAGATGACGTCTTCGGCTCTTTCCGTGGATCGGTGATCCGCTGTGTCCGAGGAACACAGCGCACCGCTGATCGCCATGCTGCTCGCTCCCGGAGCCGCGCATGCACGGTGAGAATGGGAGGACGTCATATGACGTCCTCCCAGAACGAGAGAACCACCTTGCGCCTGTCATTGGACTATATGGTGGGCGGGAGGTGGTTAAAGTAGGCTCAAGCTAAGTCTTAGCTTTCTGTCTATTTTCAGTGTACACACACAAATATGTAATGGGAATTTTGGAATTATTGTGCTGAGGTTTATATGTGTCTGTGCGACTCTTGCTTGTGGCATAGCAACCAAAGCTTATTTTATAGGTAAAAGGAGACTCTGGTTTTATTTGACCATGTCCTTTAAGCCCCCCCATGGTAATCAGTTTGGCTTCGCCCATACTTTGCTGCAGGGTGCACAGTGAGCTGCATTACTGCTCTAATTGCCCCAAGTCTTTTACAATTTCAGAAGAGCCCCTGGGGGCATGCTAAAAGCATATCTTGTGCCTCCCTGTGAGCAATGGAGAAGAACACAATTTGGTTTGATATCAGCCTATATCCCTGACTCATTGTTTACGTGGCTGGAGATATGCAGTGAATGAAGTTTTGTCTGAACCTGTGTTCAGATTGAACCTGTAGCTCATCTCTATTTTCAATGTATCAAAGCTTTAGTCTGCTCCATAAGGTTTACTCTCCATCCAGTAGGAGTCCAACAGATATGGTTTGCTTATCCAAATCTGGGAAATTATCCACCTTATATCCAGTATAAGTTTTGCTTCAAACTACACTGTGTCCTAGTAAGATGTATTTGAGTGTTCTTAAACCCAAAACCAAAAATATAATGTATTGCAGCTTGCCAGTCATTAGATGTGGTGGCTACATCAGTTTTCTTTTGTTTGGCCCTTCCCTTTGTTTTCACCTGGTGATCTGGCCATTAACACGCCTCATGTATTGGTGAAACACCACTCTGGATGAATAACCACAGGAGGCACAGCAGATTTTACCATTGTCAGTCTGAGGAAGGGGAGTGGTAAATGTATTAGCATACTTAAATACACTAACTGAAGCAATACTCCAGCTCGCACTATATACTCAGTTTTTTCCTTTTGAGATAAAGGTTTTACATGAACAAATAAAAGCTGATCATTTTAACCATCCCTGCCAGTGGAAAATGGATGGTCTCATCCATGTAAACTGATACATTCTGGTGGAGATCTTGAGCATTTAAAAAACAATAGACTTGCTGGCTGGATCACCAGATGAAAATAGAAGTAAGAAAGCTTAAAAAAGAAAACAAATGCAGCCATCACATCTAAGAATTGGTAAGCCGCAATATAACAAATGTTGGCTTTTTGTGTTTACTGCTTTAAGAAAACCTGTTTACTAATCAAATTATAACTCTTGCACCAGTTTACTAATTTCACATGCTGATTGATGATCCAAAAAGTCATCTCTGAGGTAGCCCCAGGGGTACATGTTCCTCAGCTTGAGAACCGCTGGCCCAGATTGAGTTTGGATGTGTCTAACCAAAGCCTTTATAAATCTTGCTGTCAATGCAGTTTTCTGTATTACGACATAGAATTTAATCACAGAATGTGAAACATTTGCAGACAGATGAAACCTGGCCCCCTCTGAAAAGCTTTTTTTTTTCAACATTTGTTTTTTATTTCTGTAATATGTATAGTGTAATTCTGTAATGCTTTTATTGCCTTCATGATAAACATTACATGCCTTTTGCTGAGCTGTTTTGGCACAGACATAGATTCAGACGCAAAATGTATATTTATGTTATCAGAAAGTATATACAGTAAGTTAGAGTTATGATTATACATTGATTTTACAATTAAATTGATACATTATGATTAACTATGTGAGCTCATAGTGTTTAAATAAACAAAAGCTTGCCAGAAAAGAATTACACTCACAAATAAAGATTTGATCATAAGAAGAGAGATTTTCTTCCTATAGATTTAGAAAAATGTATTATGATTACAGAATGAAGTTCTGATATTTGCCCCCCTTCTCCAAAATGGCAGCAAGAATTTACCTGTAGCTAGCTCAGATACTAATACTGCTATGTGGCCCTATCTTGTCTTGTTCTATACTCATTTATTCACTAAGAAAGAAAAAACAAATAGAGCTAAGTACAAATTTAGAAAGTGTGTTGGACTTCCACAGAGAAACCACTGCTTCCCCAAAGAGAACAAGGTTCCTTCTCTTCAGTATGCTGGCAGAGAAGACCGGCTTTTTTAACTGAGCCTAGGGCTGCTTTTTAGCCACTTGCCCTCTGGAAGAATTACCCCCCTTAATTACCAGGCCTTTTGTTTTGCTATTTGGCACTGCGCTAGTTCAACTGGTAATTGTGCAGTTGTGCAGCGCTGTACCCAAACAAAAATTTATGTCTTTTTTCACACAAATAGAGCTTTCTTTTGGTGGTATTTTATCACCACTGGTTTTTTTTTTTTTTTTTTTTGATATAAACGAAAAAAATAAAAAAAAATAAAACCTTATTTTCTACTTTCAGTTATAAAAAATATCCAGTAAGTCAGTCATAAATTTAGGCCAAAATGTATTCTGCTACATGTCTTTGGTGAAAAAAAATCCCAATACATGTATATCAATTAGTTTGTGTGAAAGTTATAGCGTTTACAGGGGCGGACTGACAACTCATGGGGCCCCCGGGCAACAGGGGATCATGGGGCCCCTGTGTCCTTGCCCAAACTCAAAAAAGCCTATGAAAAAGGTACCAGGGGCATCTCATGGGGCCCCCTACTGACCCCGGGCCCTCGGGCAGTGCCCAAATTTCCAAATGGACAGTCCGCCCCTGAGCGTCTACAAACTATGGTGTATATATACTGTATATATATTGAAATTTACACAGCTTTTACTTTCTGACTGCCTATCACATTTCTTGAGGTGCTAACATGCCAAGACAGTACAACCCCCCCCCCCCCCCCCCCAATCCCAAGGAATTTGCTGAGAGGCATGTTGAGGCCATGGAAGATTTTATTTTTTGCCACAAATTTTTTAAAGTGACAAAAACATTCTTTTTTTTTTTTACACAAAGTTGTCACTTAAATGATATATTGCTTACACATGCCATGGGTATATGTGGAATAACATCCCCAAAACACATTCTGCTACAGCTCCCAAGTATGGGGATACCACATGTGAGATACTGTTTGGCAGCCTAGCTACATACAGGCTTTGAAAATCCAATGACCACCTCCAGGCTTTCAAAGGGCATATTTCCTCGTGTCATTTCTTCACGACTTATCACAATTTTGGAGCGCCTAAAATGTTAAGATCGTACAAATACCCTTCCCAAATGACCCCTTTTTGGAAAGTAGACAACACAAGGAATTTGATGAGAGGCATGGTTAGTATTTTTCAAATATCATTATTTGTCACAGGGTTTTGAAAAAGAAAAAAAATGAATTGTTGTATTCTTTCTTCATTTTCCAAAAACTTGTGGCAACAAATGACATCTGCAAAATGCTCACCAGGCCCCTTAACAAATACCTTGCAGTGTCTACATTCCAGAAAGGGGTCATCTGGGGGGGTGCTTCTACTATCCAGGACCAACATTAGAAGACCATACCTTTTCCGAAACGTTTTGTTTATAAGAAAAAACAGGGTTTTTTCGCTAGAAAATTACTTTGAACTCCCAAACATTATATATTTGTTTAAATCAGAGGCCCTAGATAATAAAACGGTGGGTGTTGAAATTTTTTATGTCACACAGTATTTGCGCAGAGAGATTTTTCAAAAGCAAATTTTTTGAGAAATAATACACTTTTTAGAACTTTAATGCACAAAAACACAATATATTGCCCAATTGTTTGATAGAGTATAAAAGATGATGTTACACCAAGTAAATGGATACCAAACAAGACATGCTTTAAAATTGCACACGTCTGTGCAATGTCGATAAACTACGTACATTTTTAATATCAATAGGCAATGGTTTAAAAGCATTTACAGGTCATGACTTTAGATTTACACAGAAGGTCTAGTGCTAGGATTACTGTCCTCAATCTGACGTTTTTGGTGATACCTCACATGCATCTCTGTTTATATACCAACACGGGACTGCCGCTTGCACTTGCCTTCGCGCGCGAGCATGGGGTGGGGGTGATTTTTTTTATCATTATTTATTTTGCTTTTTTTTAATTTTTACACTGCCCTTTCATTTTTTTAATCACTTTTATTGTTATCACAGGGAATGTAAATATCCCCTGTGATAGCAATAGGCAGTGACAGGTATTCTTTTCTGAGAAATATGGGGTCTATTAGACTCTAGATCTCTCCTCTGCCCTTAAAGCATCTGATCACACCAAGATTGGTGTGATCAAATACTTTCCCAATTTTAAAATGACACTGTTTATATCTGGGGAAACGGAAATGATGAGATGCTTGTAGCTTCCGTTCTCTTAGACCATAGAGATCACTGGAGGCATACCAGTCTCCGATCAGCTCTATGGTCAGCCAGCGGAACTGCCGGCTGCATTCTCGGATTCCCCTGTGGGACGGGAGAGCCCAAGAAAAGAGTGGAAGGTGGAGGGGGCGGAGGTGATATCCCTTCCCACTGCTTGTAAAAGTGCTCCAGGGGCTAATTAGCAGCTAGGATTGTTTTTACATGAAAGTTGAATGCCAGCTGAAAAAAACAATACCAGGATGATGTCTGTAGCGGCAGGCACTTCCCAGTATAACCATGTGTATGTACCAGTACATGGCTGGTCCTTTTTGGACATATGTACAGTGGGGAAAATAATTATTTGGTCCCCTGCAGATTTTTTAAGTTTGTCCACTTACAAAGAAATGAAGGGTCTATAATTTTTATCATAGGGTTTTTTCAAATGATAAGAGACAGAATATCAACCAAAAATCCAGAAAAAAACACAATAAAATACTTATTTTACCCACTGGACTGCGATTCAATTTATAACATTTGTATTATGTGTTTTTT